CCTACGAGTGTATTCGGGGAAAAGCTTCGTGAGCAAGTTGAGGAGCGACTCTCCTTCTATGAGACTGGAGAGATTCCACGGAAAAACTTAGACGTCATGAAAGAAGCCATGGTTCAGGCAGAAGAAGTGGCTGTTGAGATTACCAAGAAGCTGGAGAAAAAGGAGAAGAAGCGCTTGAAGGAGAAGAAACGACTGGCTGCGCTTGCACTTGAGGCTTCAGAAAACAATGGCACTCTTGAAGATCAGGAATGTGAGGAAACCGAAGAAAAACCCAAAAAGAAGAAAAAGAAAAAGCCCCAGGAGGCTCCACAGGAGAACGGAATGGAAGATCAGTCCAGCTCTGCTCTCCCTAAACCCAAGAAAAAGAAATCTCTGTCCAAGGAACTGGTCAGCAGTGACTTTGAAGAGCCTGTTGACCCAACTGTAAATGCAAAAGTCCCAAAGAGGAAGAAATCTTCCTCCAGAGAGGAACCAGAAGACCCTGAAGAGGTTGCAAACAGCGTCCCAAAGAAAAAGAAGAAGCTTTCTAAGGAGGAGCCCGTCAGCAGTGGACCTGAGGAGGCCGTTGACAAGAGCACTAAGAAAAAGAAAAAAAGCACCCCAGGAAGATTAACATGGACATTCCCTGGGGATGTGAAGGGCATACCCAAATGTTGCCCAATAAAAAACTGTTTACAAAAGTTGGTAAATAAAAAAAAAAAAAAAGAAGAGATCATGAAGTCAGTGTGAACCTCATCTGGAAAACTATTTGAATAAAAGCAGAAAAGGCTCTGTTGTTTTGTTGTTTTTGTTTTGTTTTTAATTTTATTTTACTATTTTGTGTGTGTGTACTGTCAAATTGAATCTGACTGGTACAAGAGGTGATTACCCCTCCTTCTCAAGCAGAGCATCTGGTCGATTTGAACCTCATGCCTCTGGGATTCCCATGCAACTTCTTGCCACTAGGCCACCACAGCTACTTGGCTCTGTTGTTTTTGGTGTTATGTGGCATCATGTCAACTATGACTCACAGTGACCCTATGAACAGTAGCTCTGAGCCCTGCTCTGTCCTGAGCCAATCTCACTGTCTCCAGCACACTTACACATCTATTATCTTAGTCACTGGGTCAGTCTATCTCAGCCAGTCTTCCTCTCTTTGGCTGATCCTTCACTCTTCCAAGCATGATGTCCTTCTTGCTTGGAAGAACTAGTCCATCCTGACAACATGGCCAAAGTATGTGAGACAGAGCTTCAAAATCCTTGCCTCCAAAGAGCAGCCTGTTTTCACCCTCTCTAGGACAGACCTATTAGGTCTCTTGGCAGTATGAGCAATACTGTTTGTTCTCCAGCACTACAATTCAAAGGCACTGATTTTTCTTCTGTCATCCTTAGTCATTGTACCAGCTCTCTGATGCATAGCAAGTAATTGTGAAGACCTTCGCCTGGATCAGTAACATTATAGTCCCCAGACTGACATTCTTGTTCGTCGGCACTATAGAGAGGTCTCTGACAGCACTTTCCCAATGCAATTCTAGTTTTGGTTTCCTGACTGCTAGCTCCCAGAAGGTTGATGGTGGATCTGAGCAAGATGAAATTGTTAACAACTTCAATCTCTTCTCCATCTATCATGATGCTGCCAATTGGCCCAGTGATGAGCATCTTTGTTTTCTTGAAGGTGAAATGCAATACATATTGCAGAGTGCGGTCCTTGAACTTCTGCAGCAAGATGGATAATAAGGTAGAACATCTGAGAATTCGACTTCAAATAATTTTCTGTAATTGTTGACCCAAGAGGAAACACTCTGGAATGAGAAATCACAATTACACTTATTTTAAAAGAAGACAAATCTGATAACCATGACCTGGAATTGAACAAATAAAATTGAAACTCTCATTTAAAAAATATTCATAATTCAAGCTGCACTGCAATCCCAAAGGTGCACCGTTCAATTCCACCAGATACTCCACTGGAGGATGGGCAAACTCCTCCTGTGCCAGTCGGATCCAATTCAAATAACAAGTAAAAAAAAATCACAATTCATAAACTTTTCCATTTATGTATGGAATAAGAAGACTGAAATTATTGAGAAGGAGATGGAAGAAAATGAAGGAGCTTTAGTAATATATTCTGCAGCATGTGACACTACTAACTGAAAATCGATATGTGAATTCTGCAGCTGTTCAAATCAACCCGTGTCTACATAGGAAAAGGATGGACAATGCCCCACTTCCCATTAAGCATTAGTGTTTCAGAAGCAGATGGAGGATTATTAACAAGAAGAAGAATCTGATGATGAAGCAGAGGTAGAAAATGAAAAAAAGAAATCTAAACCTTAAAAGGCTGAAAAAACTGTCAGACATTAGCAGGTTTTAAATGATTTCAAAAGATACAGTGGTTGTGAAAAATAATGTACACAAACTTTGTAAGTAAACAAGTGCAAAATAAAAATTTTCTTTTAAATTTAAAAAAATACAGCAGAGACCATCAAAAAAGGAAGAAGTGATGAGTATAAAACTTTTTAAAAATAGTTTTCAAATGAAAGTGATTCTTTTATTCAATTTATTGCTGCATTTTAAATTTTGCCCACGTCTATTTTATGTGTTCTATTTGACGAATATGGATCTCAGAAGAATGACTGTCATGCTTTGGCTAGGGGCCTTTGGGTCAAGTACTACTCATAGTGACCTTATGGACAACAGATCTGAACCCTATCCTGCCTAACACACTTGAGGCTACTGTTGCAGTCACTGTGTCAAACCATCTTGTTGAGGATTTCTTTTTCACTGATCCTCCATATTCCCAAGCATGATGTCCCTTTCCAAGAAATATACCTTTGGGTATATCCTAACAATATACCCAAAGTGTGAGAGATGAAACTTCAATATCTTTGCCTCCAAGGAACACTGGGGATACACTTTTTAAAAGATGTATCATTTGGCAGTCCATAGGTACATTTAGTTCTCTCCTCCAACAGCAAAGCTCAAAAGCATCAATTCTCCTTTATTCAGTGTCCATCTTTCAAACATGTAACACATGATTAAAAAGACCTGAAACAGGTATGCTTTAGCTTTCAGACTGGCATCATTGTTCTTCAGTATTTTAGAAAGATCCCTGAGAGCAGACTTGTAATATGTCTTCTGATCTCCTGACTGCTGGTAACAAAGGTGTTAATTGTTGATTTAAGCAAATTTAAATCATTGACAACTTCAATCCTTTCTCCTTCCATCATGATGCTACCTATTGGCCTAGTGGTAAGGACTTTTCTGTTCTTGATATTAAGATGTAATCCACATTGGAAGTTGCAGTCCTCAACTCTCTGCAGCAAGCAGTTCAAGTCCTCCTCACTGTCAGAAGGCAGAGTTGTGTCATCTACATGAAGCAGGTTATTAATGAGTCTTGTTCAATCATGATGTCACATTTCATTTCATAGAGTCCTGCTTCATGAATAATTTGCTCTGGTTGCCTAATGGCAAGAAGGTGTGCTTCAGGGGAGCTCTGGTGGCCTAGTGGCAGGGATCTGCAACTACAATCCCAGAGGCACATGGTTCAAATCCACCAGATGCTCTGCCGGGGAAGGAGGGACAATCTCCTCCTGTACCAGTCAGATCTGATTTGACGGTACACTCACGCAAAAATAATAAAATAAAATTTTTAAAAAAATACAAAAAAAAAGAAGGTGTGCTTCAATCCCAAAGTCATGCAGTTTGAGGCTGCCAGCTGGTCTGTGGGAGAAGGAAGGGCAATCTCCTCCCATGTGATTAGTAGCCTATGAAAACCCACTGGAGGGTCAGCTATGGGTACATAACATAACTCTATGGTACATAACAACAACATAGATTGAGTAGATGTAGAGAAAAGATATCTTGTTAATGCACACCATTTTTTATTTTAAATCATGCAGTTTCCTTCCTCTTTTCAGATAACAGCTTCTTGATAGAGTGTAGATTTTTTATGAGCACAATCATGTGTTCTGGGATTCCCATTTTTCTCATTGTTAGCCATAGTTTTGCTGTGATCCACATAGTCAAGTGCTTTTGGATCACCAATAAAGCACAGATAGACATTCTTCTGGTATTTTCTGCTTTTAGCCAGAATTAATCTGACATCAGCAATGTTATCCATGGTCTCTTCTAAACCCACTTTGAACTTCTAGCAGTTCTCTGTCAATGATCTGTTTTAGTCATTTCTCTATGATCTTTAGCAATATTTTACTTGCATGTGATATTAATGTTACTATATGTTAATTTTCAAATTCTTTTGGATCACTTCTTTTTTAATGAGAACAAATATGGATATCTTCTAATCAGTTAGCCAGGCTACTGTCTTCCGAATTTCCTGGCATAGTCTTGTGAACACATCCAAGGTGGCATCTGTTAGTTGAAACATGTCAATTGGCGTCATCTCAATTTCTGGGACTATAATTTTGCCAATGCCTTCAATGTAACTTGAATTTCTTCCTTTATTACCATTGGCTCCTGTTCACATGGTATGTCCTGAAATGTTTTAGTATCAACCATCTTTTAGGTACTCTATGTGTTCCTTCTATCTTCTTTTGATGCTTCAGTGATCATTCAAGATTTTGCCTATAACATCTCTCAGTATTGCATTTATTGGTTGTTATTGTTATGTGCCATAAAGTGTCTTGCAACTCATAGCAACCCTATGTGTATAACGGCTCTGAACCCTGCTCCATCCAAAGCCAACCTAATTATCTTTGACACACCTATGCTTATTATCCCAGTCACTGAGTCAATCCGTTTCATATAGGGTTTTCTTCTTTTGCACTGTCCCTTCACCCTCCCAAGCATGATATCCCTCTCCAACGACTGGTCCTTCCTTGCATCATCTCCAAAGTATGTCAGACAAAGCTTCAGAATCCTTGCCTCTGAGGAGTAGTCTGATTTTACCTTCTCCAGAATGGTTCTCTTTTTTCCCTTAATAGTCCATAGTATGTTCAATACTCTTCTCTAGCACCATAGTTTAAAGGCATCAATTCTCCTTCTACAATCCCTAGTCATTATCCAGCTTTATGATGCATAGCAAATAATTGCAAAGACCATGGCCTGGATCAGATGCACCCTAGTCTCTAGACTGACATCGTTGCTCTTCAGTATGAGAGGTCCCTGACAGCAGGTTTTCCAAGTGTAATTTGTCTTTTGATTTCCTGACTGCAGGTACCAAGAATGTTGATTGTGGAGCCAAGCTAAAGCTGTTAACAATTTCAGTCTCTTCACCATCTATCATGATGCTGCCAATCGGCCTTGGGATGAGAATCTTTTTCTTCTTGATGTTGAGCTTCAATCCATGTTGAAGGCTGCAGTCCTTGACCTTCTGTAGTAAGTATTTCCGATCTTCCTCAGTTTCAGCAAGCAAGGTTGGATCATCTGCATAATGCAGGTTGTTGATGAGTCTTCCTTCAACCCTGATGCCACATTCCTCCTCAGAGAGCCCAGCCCCGCAGATGATATGTTCTGCATAAAACTTGAAAAGGTATGGAGATAGGACGCATCCTTGGCTACACTCTTCCGGATCTTGAACCATGCAGTGTTTCTTTGCTCTGTCCTGACGGCTATCGCCTGGTACAAGTATTGCACTTAGCAAAAATAAAAATAATTTTACTACAAGTACAAAGAATTTTGACAAGAGATGCTGAAATGGTTTCTCTATCTCCTGCTCTGCTCCTTTCAAATTAAGGAAGAAAGTC